TATTTGTAATTTGCCTCCCCACTAACTTTTGTTTTTACATCCAACAAATCTTTTTTTTCCACGCAATTTGCCTCTCTAAAAATCAGAAAGTCTCTTTGCCTCATGCAATTTTCATGTGATTATGTTGACCTTTTCTAACACTAACAAACAAGTATGTGAAAAATGATTATGTACAAAATAAATTATTTTTACACACTTATATATATTTTTTATTTTTTAATAAGTTTGCCACTTGCTTCCGTGAAAACTAAAGTGGTTTCCGCCCCTACTAAGTGATACTCACAATGGCCTTCTCTCAACAAGAAAAATAAAAAAGATTTTGTTGGTGCATGATAATATTGAAAAACTCACCTTATATGATCAATCAAATAAAAAATTAGCGGGCTAAATTTTGTTCGAATAATATTAAAATCTTATATATGTTTGATCCTTTAATTCTTCTAAGATGACAAATAGCTAATTTCAGTCTTATGCTCCTTACCAATGCCATCAAAGAGTCAGTCTGTGGCAACTTGCCACAATGCTCGGCCCTCTCTCTCTCTCTCTCTCTCTCTCTCTCTCTCTCTCTCTCTCTCTTTTTTTTAATTTTCTTTCAGATAAATGGTCTTCTTGTACGCATAATTAACGTACAGTCTGTAAGAAAACAGATCATCCCGGTTAGGGGATAACCCGGTCGACCTAGCATGCAACCCACACCAATTTACATGGGCCAACACTTAAGGCTTTAACGAAGCGCCGAGGGGATTCGAACTTGGTACCTGGCCTTTGGCCAGCCAGTTCTCCACCACCAGGCCACCCCACGGTGGGTTACGTACAGTCTGTAAGTCTGTAACTACTTGCTACATTAAAGATTAACCTAGATGTGCTTTATTAGTTTTATTAAATTGACTATTGAAAACAGCTGGCTGGTCAATCAAGTATTTATGTATTATATACATATATAAATGAGAAAAATTTATGTTAACTTTATTTTGATACAAGTTCAATTAAGATGAGCTTGAATATTAAATAATTTTTCGTAAATTTAAGTTCAAAATTAGACTGCTGTGCTAATCCACCGCATTTCGTTGCTCATGCTAGACTGCCTTCTTTTTTTTTTTGTTGGAAACGGGGGTATCGGCCTGCTGCCAGGTCAGCTTGTGACGCGCTTGGCGGTGTTCACTAGTTGCTCGGTGAGTCAACTAGCAATCAGTCCCATGGGTACAAGACCTACAGTTCTTTTCTTTCCACTTAAGAAGTCGTGCCTTATGAGAGGGAATTCGAACTTGGGATGGGGGGTTCCCAACCAAACACGCCCACCAACCCACCTAATCCCGGTGGGGTAGACTACCTTCTCTGCTCGGCTAAATAGAAATCAAGCCTAGCTATGTTTAGCTCTAGCTAGCATTAATCCACCTTGAGCTTGGCCATCGACCTCCAGGTTATTAACCACTGTTCCCTTGTAGCTAGTATTCATCAGACCACCTTCGAGCTCACAGCTATTTTACTACCAATGACTTAAGTTTTGTTTGGTACATTTTTTTTTTCATGCTTTTTAAAAATAATATTTTAACATAAAAATTTTCAATTCAATAAATTTTCAATTCGAAGTCCACTTCAAGCAACAACTCCAACTATGGATTAATTATTCTGCACAATACTGAATGCCATCTAGAGACCAACTAGAATGCGCCACATCACCCATGTGCTCGGTACCGCTGACATGGCGCATTGTAGTTGGTTTTCAGACGATGTTCTGCATCCAATCTTTCCACATAATAATTTATTGCAACTATGACAAGGCCCAACTATTGGTGATCGGCCTATGCATGTGAAGGGTAAAAATTATCATCTAAAATAATGTAAAAATTATTACTATTTGATGAAAAAAATATTATAGTAGGAACATATTTTGCTTGAAGGATTAAAATAAATATATTTTGAATTTCATTTAATTATGGTACAATGTTTTACAATAATTATTATATAATTAAATAAATAACTGGGATAACATAGAAAAATCAAAATTAATAAAAATATTTTTCTAGAAATTGAACTCGTAATATTAGAAAATTAATATAACTTTTTTTTTTGTTGGTTAATTTAGGGGTTATCTCTTATTTTGATGTTTATATTGCTCCAACTATGCATATACTCGATTGCAATATGGAAGATTGATTAGTATGAATTGATTGCATGATGCTCCATCTTCTGTGTGTTCTTCTAAAAGTAACCTTCGACAATTCATTTTCATCTTCTTATTTTTTTGCTTTTCGATCTCCGCTATGAATTCCTTATCTCAATTCAATAATGTCGAAGGTATTGTTTAGCTGTACCTGGAACTTTATGAAGACATATGTTTTGTTTGGGACAACTTTTTAAAATAATTTTTTAATATAAAATTTTCAAATTAAAAAAGAAAATTATACTAAAAAATTACTTTATAAGCTAGTAAGAAAGATGTCTCAAACGAAGCCATAGTTTGAGTTCTCTTCATAGGTAATTATCTAAGATGAATTATTTTGTGCGGACACCGGACGGGGAGAACCGTCCATTCTGTCTATGTGCGCTTTTACTATTCATGCTGCGCTTTTACAATTCACAGAGACAAAACCGAACGGTTCTTCCCGTCCGGTGTTTGCAGAGAATAATCTCTCCTTATATACAAGTTCAAGTCACTGCAAAAAGAATTTGATTCTATTGATGACGTTATGTTTCAAGTCCTAGAGAAAAGTGGGTTTCCAAATTTGCTCAAAGACACTATGTTTCTACCGTCACCCCGTTTCCCCTCAGGTTTTGACTACCTTTTGTCTTGGAAGTGTCAGACATCTTGCAATACTTTGGAATGGTTCTGGCTCAGTTCTTTACAAATCTTTAGGAAAAAGACTTAGATTGTGTGCATCAAAATCGTCTACCAATTTGTTATGTTACTCGGACAACGCTCTTATTAAGTGACTTTTAGTTTTCTTTTGCATTAGTGATTAGTTGCCTTTGAATTTACTAAGATTTCTTTTATTTTATTTTTAGTTTTCAAAATCTCAGGCAAGATCCTTGCTTTATTTGAGTCAGGTTAAGCATGGGAAAAACTTCTTAAATGGCATTCTAGAGAATCTTTACGAAGACTCAAGCCCAAGTTATAAAGATGAAGATGGAAGGATGGCCTTTTGCTGGGATAGTAAAGACCGAGTTGCAGTCGATGCTATTGTGAATATGGTAGAACAAATTGACTACAGCAGCTTTTGATCTAGGCTCTGTGGTATTTGTCTAGTATCTACATGGTCATTTAGGGCCTGTTTGGTTGGTAGGTTGTGGGCTTAGAGTATTTAAATTGTTGGGACTTCATAAATATAGGTGTTTGGTTGAATGAAAAATAATTTGAAAGTAAAATTTTGAAGTATTCAAAACTCACCCTTTTATTTTTGGAGCACTCTAAATTCATCTAATTCATCCAATTTTTGATCACACTATGCATTTTATTCACTGGTTGTCACCGCCCACAACTGGCCCTCGCAGTCCATCATCGTCGTTGCTCTTCGTACCTAGACCCACAATGCTAGTTATCAGCACCGCTCCATCTTCAACTTTTGCTACCCACTGCGCCACCGACCATCATTACCGAGGTTTACTCTAAATTTATGTACCTCAGACCAAACACAATTAAATGATCTCATGTATTTGCTTTGCATTAAACTTAATAACTCTATAGTATTTCAAATATAATGAATTTACTTTCAACTGCATTAAGAATGAAATGAATTCTAAATGCTCACAACCAAACAACCCATAAAAAAACATCCTCATGGTGATCTTCATATGTCAGTTATGATGCGATTTGCGACATCGTAGTAGAGTACTGTTTTCGTAATCAATTCTAACAAAAAGATAATGACCAAGAATGATGTTGTGAGAGGGGAGTTGGATTAAATTTCAAAAGAGAATAAAGAGTTAACAATTAAGCTGCAAAACTCGATTTTGGCTAACCAGACTATAAAGAATTATTGTGAAGAATTTGTCAAGGAGGATGTTAACTTGCACTTTCAAGTGAGAAAGTGAGAAGAAGCTAACAAATCTAAAAACTTCAAACTAGTCGAGAATCATTGAGTTGCAAAGCAAGGTAAATACTTTAGAATCTTCTATGGCCATATTTGAATAATCTAAAAACAATATCGCTCATTCATTATTATCGTGTCAAGCATGAAACGCCAAATTAGAAGACTTGTTGAAAAAGTCAGAGGTTGAACGAGTTGGGACATCCTCATAAACTCTGAAGGCCACTACTATTGATGAGTTCATCATCCTCATAAACTCTGAAGTCTACTAACATTGATGAGTTCATTAGACTTGCCGAGCATGAAGAAAAAACTTTGAATAATTATTATGAAGGAATCACCTTTTGCTTAGATGTATAATAGACAGAAGAGTGATAAACTATACATGGAAAAACCTCAAATTTATTTACTATACTTCTGAAAATTACTTCAACAATGAAGACTAGGGAGAGAAGGGTTCCATGTAGACAAGATAGCCAACATTCTCCAAAGAATGATAATTGATATATTTTTTGTAAATCCTCTCTGAATGAAATATACCTATTTTACAACTGAATGGTTCTTTAACATTTATGTTTATTTTTCTTTTAAAATTTATGTCAAGTAGAAATTAAGTATAAAGTCGATATTCACCTATTTGATTGTTTTGTGCTCATAGAACTTGGTTTTGGTTATAAGCACACTCATCGCACCTTAAAGAATATTGGATTCAAAATTATCCGCAGATTATACCATAATCTTACCAACAAGAAAAACAAGACAAACATAACAAAAGCAAGGAGAAATAGAATCTAAAACAAGAAACTCTAGATTTCACTAAATAAGGAAAGCACAAGATCTGAATATCAATCATTAGAAGTATTTTTTCTCCCCCTGATCCTCAATTTATAAGTTTGGTGTTTAATGCTAGATAAAAGGGTAAATTCAAGCAAAAAAAAAAAAAAAAAAAAAAATTAATCAACATTTGTTTGCTCAACATTTGTTTGCTATAAAATACGTGAGGCCTTAGCTAAAAACATCTATACAAAATGCATATGAATTTCTTAGTCAAGCAACACTCCAGGAAAGTTTATTACATCCAAGTTCCCTAATTTTTCCATTGTTCAATTATCAAAAGTTCCGCAAACATCAAGAATTTTCTAATCAAAGGAATCCAAAAAGGAATTCAATAAAGGAAACGTGAGGAAGATCGACAAAAAGAAGCAACTGAGAATCAGCAGCCAAGCTACGAGAAAGAAGCAGAACAGTTGTGCAACAATCTAACAGCACTTATCTTCTCCACTGCCACTGCAGACTCAGCCAGTGATCATCGTTCCAGCTCCCTCATCCGTGAGAATCTCAAGCAGCAATGAATGCGCCACTCTCCCATCAATTATACTTGCAGTTCGAACCCCCTGTGTAAGCGACCTCACGCAGCAATCGACTTTAGGGATCATCCCCCCAGCTACCTTCCCCTCTTCGACCAGTCTTCTTACCCCATTGATGTCGATTTCTTTCACGAGGCTGCGGGGATCATTGCGATCCGTTAATATTCCTGCCACATCCGTCAGAAGTATTAGCTTCTCAGCCCCAACGGCGGCGGCAATCTCACCTGCGGCAGTATCCGCATTCACATTGTACCCCTGACCCTTTTCATCTGCAGCGACAGAAGCAATGACAGGGATGTGGCCGTTGGCAATGATGGGGCGTAGAATCGCTGGGTCGACCCGAGCGATCTCACCGACGAATCCAAGCAAAGATGCATCGGGTGAAGGCCGGGCAGTGAGAAGTCTGGCATCCTTACCGCAGAGGCCGATGGCTGTGCCGCCGGCGAGATTTATTAGGGAGACGAGTGACTTGTTGACCTTGCCGACAAGGACCATCTCCACGACCTCCATAGTGAGAGCGTCAGTAACACGGAGGCCGTTGTGGAACTCGGGCTGGACTCCGAGACGGAGGAGCCATGCGTTTATCTCTGGGCCTCCACCATGGACGAGAACTGGCCGGAGACCAACGCAAGCGAGGAGGACAAGGTCATTGATGACGGAAGCCTGCAGGGCGGGAGACTTCATAGCGGCGCCGCCATACTTTACCACAATGGTCTTGCCGCGGAAGCGCTGGATGAAAGGGAGGGATTCGGATAGGATGTCCACTCGGGTCAGCGCAGGGGTGGCCGTTCTCGCTTCTGAATCGGCGGTGGAGGTGGTAAGAGAAGCGGACATAATAGCCTGAATCCGGAGGGATTGGGTTGGGGCAAGTCTAGGTTTAGGGTTAGGGAAGCGGGAATTTTTTAAGGGGAAGAAGGTAGGATGACGAGTCGTCAATGGCTTTGCTGATAGCATCTTCGTTTGATCTGCTTGACTTTTCCCTTAGGCCTCAGCTCGTCGTCAAGGTGTTAATTTTAGAGATTCTCAGCAGAGAAGCGGCGAAATAAATCAGAAGCTAGCTACCCTAATCACAACGAGAGGGGTGGTGAGACTACCGTTTTTGGGGAGTGGTGACGTGGTCTTTTCAAGCAAGCGGCAGTATCATATGCTTACCGGAGGAACTGGCAAGTGGCGTCGAAAACTTCCCGCTTTAGAGACGTGAAAACAATCTTCAATTCCCTCGCCGCTTAGTTTTCCATATGCACAGAGGAGCTATTCGAACGAATCCTTTCTATTACAGAGTTGATGGACTATCGCCGGCTGCTCATCGCGGCGACTGAGATCGTGCTCTCCAGCGATCACCGCGCCGATGGCAGCGCTCCTCTGAATTCCGCCGAGCTCGGGGTCTCTGGAGTCCTGAAGCCCCACCAGATCGAGGGCGTCTCCTGGCTCATCCGCCGTTACGAGCTTGGCGTCAACGGCTTGCTTGGTTGCCTTCCTATCTATGTCTTATCCTTTTCTCAACTTTCGGATTTGCTATTAACCACTTTGTTTCTTCTACTTGCAGGAGACGAGGTTGGTCCATATGTTGTACCAGAACCATGATAGTAGAAGCTGATGATCTGTTTTACTCTCTCATTTTACTGCTGTGTTTGGATGAACAGGGAAATCGTTAAATTAAATGTTCTAGGGTTTCTGTTCTGCATTTTGATCATGAATCTGCAACCATAGTTTGAGATTTTAAATTCATTCAGAGCCATTTATAGGAAAAATCTATTCACACCTAGAGCTGTATTCTAGAAGCTGGTTAGATTACAAAGGTTCCTTGAGTCTTCTGTGCTATTCCAGTGATCAACAACAATACGTAGAAGTTTGAACCTGGAAAAGAAATGGGAAATAGTTTTTCTTCTAACATCTTAGCTTAGCCAAGGCTATTATAAACAGTTTGCAGGGCTTGACAGCTTCAGGAAAGTACCATTCTGCATTTTCAATTTTCATCACAGTTTCTAAAAACAGATCTTATTACTGTAGTAAAATACTAGTGACGAGGTATATCAATCTTTATGCTACTAATGCCTGTATTTTATTTTCTCTGTTGCATTGCTTTTATGTCCGAGCTCGGAGGAGGAATTATGGTCATCAACACAATCATGTTGATTCCAATGCTAATTATAAAAAACTTTGAACTTATGATTCCAAGATTTGATCCAGTTGCTTAAATTAGAGTATTTATTGAGAAAGATTAACGTCTTATTGCATCTATGGTAAACAACCAACGTTTGGATTGTGTATTTAAATGTTTGACCTGTCGGTTTTTTGTAATAGAGTTGTGATGCGATAATCATTTGAATTCATCTTCCCGCGATCTCTGCTACTCCACATTGATCCTTGAACTTGAATGTTTTGTAGGCAAGGCTAACATTTTATTTTGTTGATATATGGCAGCTATGTTCTAATATCTTATTCGCATCAACATTTTTTTGTTTTTCCAAATGTTGATAGATGGGCCTTGGAAAGACTGTTCAGGCTATTGCTTTCTTGAATTATCTCAAGATGCAGAACATTTCTCCTGGTCCTTTCTGTGAGTGAATTATTTACTTTCAGAATTTTGCACCATTTTATGCTGATTAGTAATATATTCTATCTGTTTGTAACTTATAATGTAACTTGACAGTGGTACTGTGTCCTCTAAGCATCACAGATGGTTGGTTCTCAGAATTCAATAAATTCTGCCAAAACTTGAAGGTTCTTCAATATGTTGGTGATAAAGAACATCGTCGTGCTCTTCGAAGGATCATGCATGAACACTTGCAAAAGCAATCTGCACTGTGTAATGTTGGTATCTCCTTAATCACCATGACCATTTTTTCTTGTTTTAATAATTAAGATGGAATTTCATGTAGCCTGACAATCTATTAGCCCTGTAATTCATGAACCACACACATTCATCTATGATCTAATTGACCTGATTAATTCTTTGAAGTTGAAAAAAACATTTTTTTAACCATGAACATGCCAAACATGATTAAAACATTTGTAGGAAATATGCAAGCAAGATGGCTGTGTTAACCCCTGCCCATGCATAAAATGGATCAGGGAAAATTATTTGATACTCACAAGTTAGGAATGTGAATAGCGTCGAACCTTTTCTACCGTATAAATGAATTTGGCCTGGACTATGATCGCTTGGTACTTTTTCATCTGCTTTGTTTAGGTCTGGTATATGCAGAGTATTTTTGTATCAAGTTAATCTGCCCGTGCAGGCGCATGCTGGTATACTTTCTTGTTTGATGAACTGCATTTGGGCATCTAAAAGAAGTTTATCATCTTGATATCTAAGTTGCACATTTCACCTGAATTTTTTTGTTTCTGTTTTAACAAATTTAATATCTTTGACAATCTTAACTATTCTTCGTTAGCGTTGTCTAGTGGGTTCTCAGGAGAAGCTGCTTTAAACTTTGATGTGTTGTTGACAACTTATGAGATGGCTCTATTGGATCAAGATTTCCTCTCACAAATTCCCTGGCATTATGCTGTCATTGATGAGGCTCAACGACTAAAAAATCCTTCAAGTGTACGTAGCCTTTCTTATTTTCTATTTTAAGAAATTTTTTTCCATACAAATTATTACCAACTATAAGTGAATAGGGCATGCTTTCCTTCTTGTTGTGGATTTTTTCCTTTATTTACAAAGGGTCTTGAGCTTTTATCCTTTTTGTTATCCTTATGAATGGAAAAATAGTAATCTCCAAGTTTTTATTTTGTTGAAATTGATTAATTTTCAATGTATGTGTTAGACAACTCCAGTTGGTCCTTACTGGACCGGCTTTGGTGTACATGAGGTGGAACAAATGTCTCGCCCAAAATCCTGCCCCCCCTCTTTGCAGACTGGGCCCACCATTAGTTAAAAAATAATTAAAGGGAGGATTAGGAGGGAAATTTGAAAAGGAGGTCTGTTTTGGGATTTAGAGGATTTATGTATGCTTTAAGTAGGGGAATTTCCTAGGGTTAGGGTTATCTGGTATTTTGCTGAATTTGGGAGTGTTCATTAGTTGTACTTGGGCTCTTGCTACTGGCTAGAGATTGGGAGAGCCGGGTCTTCCTCTCCAATTGGGGATCCATTATATCTTGTTTGTTTTTCTCCTATTTCATCAATTAACAAAATTTTCTTCTGTTATTTCTCTTAATTCTTCTTGGAGATTGTATTTGGAGTGCTGTAATTTAATTTCAGCATAAGGGAATTAGATTTTTGCATCCACTTCCTAACAGTATTGTGAGCTTCGAAAATTCACGCCCCAACCTTTTCTTCTTTTGGTGGAGTTTTAACGAATTAAGTTCTAGGTAAATTTTCAGCAGGCAATTTGGATTTGTAGATAAGTCACTACCCAGAGATTTCACCCTCATTTTATGAGGACTTTATGATTTAAGTTCTGGTTTCATATATAGGTGCAAGCTTCTATAGTTAATTACCCCTCCTGATAGCGAGAGAGAACTTTCGATTAAGGCTAATTGTCAATCAGATACGTAGAGATATGTGATATTTGACGTATAGTAGTAGCATGGGTTTAGTTTTGGAGATTTGATATTTAAAATTGAAAATTTCACCCTCATGCACTTAAAAGCAGATGGTAGGGAGAGTGATGATGGACCCGATCAAGATCCCACGGTTCAATCGTCTCGGGTCATCATGATCCCTGGCCTATTTAGTCATAGGAGATAGTTGACCCAACCTGATATAATGATTCCTTTAAATTTTATCAGAAATTTATCCCAAATGATTAGCTTTGAAATTTCGGGTATTTTTGAAAATCACATTCCCCTTCTGCTAAGTTTTTTTGTCAATGTAGCTATTATGGTTTTGTCTGCTTTCATTTATTGCATTTGTCCTTGCCAGTTCTATTAGCTTGGATCAAGAGGATTGGGTCCATGATTAACATTTGTGGTTGCATTTCTAAGGCAAAATATCATTATGAGTATTGATCAGATGTTCGATTGGAAACTCACTAGATCAAAAAATTTTTTTTCAATTGGTGCTGTAGTAATTTATGGCGATGTTGCAGTCTTGTTGTGTTTGATTTTTGGGTCATGAAGGTTCAAACTTCAATAGTGGGACTTGCGTCCCTGTCCTATAACATGTTTGAAGACATCATGTAAAAATGAGAGATTGAATTTTCATTTTAATTGTAAATTTTTAAAAATAGTTGCTCATTTTTAAAAAAGAATTGCATGATTCTCAGAGGGGTGAATATAAGTCTTGTTGTGTTTGATTTTTGGGTCATGAAGGTTCAAACTTCAATAGTGGGACTTGCGTCCCTGTCCTATAACATGTTTGAAGACATCATGTAAAAATGAGAGATTGAATTTTCATTTTAATTGTAAATTTTTAAAAATAGTTGCTCATTTTTAAAAAAGAATTGCATGATTCTCAGAGGGGTGAATATATATATATATATATATATATATATATATTTCGCATTGCATTTTTAAACTTTATTTTGAGCATTTAACACATTTACCAAATTACGTGCAGATGATTTTGAATTTAATAAATGGGTTTAAGAGTTTTAAAATAATTGCAGTCTTTGTAGAGCAATTGCATTTTTTTAAAGCAGAGAATTTTTGTTTAATTTTTTTTAGCCCACATAGCATTCTGATATTTAAATTTGGATATTAGCAAATTTATCATAGCACATAAAAATATTTTGACATTGGTGTGCATTACTCGCACATTTTTTGGTGCAATTGCATGCCACACTTGCACTTTTTTTGATGTACTTGCATGATGCATTTACACATTTCTTGTTACATTTTACTATGCACTTTCATATTTATTAGTGCATTTACATGGTATATAAGTATTTTTTTGATTTGTTAATATAATTCATTTACATGCTATTAGCATATGTAACAACCTAAAAGTTTAAATTGAACTTATTTGAAAAATATAAAAATTTTGTGTTGAGCAATGTGGCTTTGTGCTTGCGAGCGCAGTGGCGTTGAGAGCACTGTAGTGTCGGAAGATGCCTTCATGACATTGAAGGCTCTGTTCTACAATAACTTTGGGCGGCATGCAGCGCTGCGGTGCTAGACTGTAAAACAAATATATATTTTACAGTAACTTTGGGCGGCACAGACGGTAAGAAAAAAAA